TCCGGTCCTTCTTGGTGATCTACATTCTGTCGCAAAAAATGTAAAGTTTATAAGTTGCCTCTTGGAATTAGGCCGGTTCGGGTCTCTCATTGACGAATCGACGAGATGCGAAGCTCGCTCGGGCCGTCGATCATAAACTACATCTTTTAACGGCCCCTGCCTCCGGTCTTGTTCGCCGATTCGGCCTGTCACCATCTTCACGCCGGCTTCGACCACATGTGCTGCGCTGCGCGATCTTTATTGCTGCACGTGTGAACCCTTGCTGTCGTCGAATTATTCTCGTGAATTCGCGGCTCTATATCCGCTCGTGTACATCCGCAGGTGCTAGTTTAACTCGCAATCGTGCGTGTGATTTCGCCGCTCTTTCGGCCTTGGCGCTCGCGTGCGTATTCCGTCGTTGGCGTGTGCCTCGCGCTATGATGTGCCGACATTGCTGTGTCCGTGTAAGCAGCATTTCTATGTGTGTGTGGGCGGCCGCTCGCGCCTCCACGCGTGTTCTGCTTTTGTATAAGCGTTGCGGCGCGTATGGGCCGCTCGTGTCTTCACGCACACACTGCGGGCGCGTCGGTGAGTTGTGTGCACGCACTTGCTGCTTGTATGCTTGTATGCGCGGGTCGTTCGGTTATTATTATCTTATTCCTGGACATACCTCCGTCCAGCCATTACAGGTATAGTATTTTTCGCAAAAATTTTCGATACTTTTTTTATTGTCGTATTCGATTCTATATACATTCAAGAGTATTCAGTTAAAATTTTAAGCCAATCGGAGCAAAATTACCCAAGATATTGCCATTTTAACGCACGTGCAAAAAGGAAGAAGGACTGGACCTCTAAATCTTTAAACGCGTTTCCTGAACAATAGCATTTTCAAAGACGGTGTACATCATATCTCAAAAACTTATTGACCGATCTTTTTGAAATTTTACACCGTTATTTATTAACTATTTTACTAGGTAGTGACGTCGAGATATTTTCATTTTTGCGAAAATTTTCATTTTTTTCAACAATTTTCCAAAAAAAAAAGTGCACTTTTTCGATTTTTTCCCATTTTTTCAACTTCAAAATCACGCCAAATTTTCAAAAATGAAAATATTTTTAAAAACTTGACGTCAGTACCTTCAGAATCCTCTAAACTAATAAAAAAATGTCATTAGGCTTGTTTCTGATGATTCTGCGAGGAGTTATCGTGTACACCGCATTTTTCGACGTGTTTTCTTCAAACCGATGCCCCAGGCTCATTTTTCAATATTTTTCAACAAAAATTTAGCTGAGCACTCTTGAAGTGATGCTTTTTAGTGTACAAATCGATATTGCTACATTTTCATTACTAGATTTCAAAAAATAAATCTTAAAAATGAGCAAAAATAACTAAAAATTAACTATACCCCCCCCCTTAAAGAGTTAATGAGGTTTCTAAAAATTCATTAAACTTTTAAAGAATTGTAAGAGTTTTTAAGAATTAGAACGGCGATGAATTTCCGTAAGGGTAATTTTTCAAAAGTCGAATTCATAATGTACGTGACGTCTGCTTGCTTCATCCTTACCCTCCTTAAGGGCTCAAAGTGGGCTTAAGGGGGGGGGGGTATGGTCCTGCAGACCTCGAAAAATTTTGATTTTTTTTATTGTTTTATTTAATTGTTTATACTGTCAAGAGTATTCTGTGAAAATTTCAGCCCAATCTGAGCAAAATTGACGAAAATATTGAACTTTTAATTCGATTACTATATGCCATCTGTGGCATTTCACGTCAATTCATTATAAATAAATTCAATTCGTTATAAATAAAAAAATTTTCGGAAAAATCGAAATATCTCTACGTCAGTACCTGCTCAACCCTGCTTTTTTTATGAAGAACTGTGCAAATTTTCAAAAGGATCGGTTGAAAACTTTTTGAGTGACGTTCCTCACCGATTTGAAAAATCTTGACGTATAATGTTGTATCTTTGAACTGCGATTCCTCGAAATGACATTTGTCAAATCGGTGAGGAACGTCACTCAAAAAGTATTCAACCGATCCTTTTAAAAATTTGCACAGTTTTTTATAAACCCTTTGAGCAGGTACTGACGTCGAGATATTACGATTTTTCCGGAAATTTTTTTGTTTATAACAACTTTTCCGAAAAAAAAAATCGATTTTTCATGTCTGGACGCAATTTTAACGTTTTTTTCAACTTCAAAATTACGTCAAAATTCGAAAAATCACTTTAATTGAAAAAACTCTACGTCAGTACCTGATAAAACTCATAAACTAATGAGGTAATTTTGCATTTTTCGTTTCAGATGATTCTGTGAAAAGTTACGTTCCTCACCATAATTTTCACGACTTTTCCGTAGATTTGCTCTCAAAGGTCCAAAAATGAAAATTTTTTAATGAAATTTTTACAAAATACTCTCGAAGTCAGAAATAAATTTTTTTTTTTACTAGTAAAAAAAAATTGGAAAAATTAAAAAAAAATCGATAAATCAGCACCATACTCCCCCTTAAGTAATTATATATTTATATTTATAGTATTAAGCTGAAAAAGTGAAAAAAAATTTTTTTTCAGAAGACATAAGAACAGGCATAAGAGCCTTTTTCAAGACCCCATTTGAAAGTACTTTGTCCAGTTAAATACTTACAAACACTTAAATTAACGTGTATCAGCCTATGAGCCTTCAGCGATGAGCATTGAGGATATCTAAGCTGTTTGCCGAAAGATTCTAAGTGATTGCATGACACGACTAAGTTGTATGTCATTTCATTTTCTTTGATGGATCATTATTCATCAACGCAACCTCAAGCTAAGCATAAGTTCAATTTTGACTACTTCCACATACAATTTAATAAAATATTTTATTCATTAATGATTATTTTTGATAAATTTTAATAAAATATTTTATTAAATTGTATGTGGAAGTAGTCAAAATTGAACTTATGCTTAGCTTGAGGTTGCGTTGATGAATAATGATCCATCAAAGAAAATGAAATGACATACAACTTAGTCGTGTCATGCAATCACTTAGAATCTTTCGGCAAACAGCTTAGATATCCTCAATGCTCATCGCTGAAGGGTCATAGGCTGATACAAGTTAATTTAAGTGTGTGACGGAGCACAAGCCGTCAGTAAGCGAGTCGAGCACTCGCAGAAAATGCGTCGCGCCGAGACTGCCGCACGCGCGTATGTGTGAGTGAGTGCGTGTGTGTCTCCCTTCTCTCGCGCGTTTTCAGGTAGGTGATAAGCAGTGGCCCATCGGACTGATGATGTGAAGCCAGGAGCGTGGCCCAGTATCAACACGTGCGAGAAGGACAGAAAAGAGCCGAGCAGACACCGGGCGAATTCCTTTCGCTACGAGAGAGGCAGATTAGAATACGCTGGCGAGTGAGAAGGCCACACGAAAAGCCGAGTGATAGAAAGACGCAGGAAAACGCGAGCCAGTGCGTGAAGCTGAAATTGCTGAAGTGATTGCGGAAGTTGTCGTTGTGACGCGGGTGAGCAGGTGCCCGTTAGTACCCGTGTGGAATTGGATACACGAGTCAGATAGGAGCCCAGGTGGGCAGGGCGCCTTGGAGCAGACTCGGCCGATCGGGCAGCCAGAATCGCAAGAGTGAGGTGCGCAGAGCCCGAAAGAGGACGGGAAGGCTGAGCGAAGACAACACACGTTGAGGTACGACGAAGCCCGGACGCGGGGAGCAGTAGTAGTTGGGCCAAGAAGACTACACCCAGAGCATCGACGAGAGGTCATCAGGGCAGCAGCGAGGCGCCGAAGAACTTGGGGTAATTGTAAGGTATTTCTAAGCCGTTGGTCGGCGCGGCTGCCGGGCCGCCCGTGCGTGTGTGTGAGCAAGTGTGTTAGTGTAAGTGAGGCCACGCGAGTGTCGTAGCGACGACACTGGGCCGATAGTAACGTGCGAGCAAGTCTCGGCCCTCGTGGGCGATCGGAAAGTGCCCAACGCGTGCGTAAGCGGCTACGGGGCCGTATCGTAAGCCAAAGATTGTAATTCGCGTATTATTTGTTATCGTTTGCCCTCGTGGGCCTTAAATAAAGATAAATCAATTAATCGTAAAGGAACGCGTGTCAATTCATTTCGCTTGACCTATTCGAGAATTTCAGGTATCAGAAGCCTAAGCGAAGGAAGGTGAGTGAACGGGCTCACGGCTCGCCCGTGCTGGTGACGGGCCCAATATCCCCTCTGGGACTCGAGTCAGGTAAAGCGGGCCCCCATTAATAAAGTGCACGGCAGTCGAGCTGAATTACCCACCCGGGGTAGGCTGTCCGTCGCAAGTGTTTGTAAATATTCAACTGGACAAAGTACTTTCAAATGGGGTCTTGAAAAAGGCTCTTATATGCCTGTTTTCTCAAAAATTTTTTTTTCACTTTTTCAGCTTAATACAATAAATAGAAATTAATTACTTAAGCCCCCTTTGAGCCCTTAATCATCGATAACATTACATCGTTACAAAATTTAAAAGTGTGGTTATTACTAGAATCAACACTTTTAAACACTCTAAACTACATTTTTTGCTTCATTTAAAAGTCAAAATCAGTAATTTTAGTCTAGATTTTAGAAGAAGCAACACAATACCTGATCAAGAGGATTTTTATAGTTTTTTATTACATTCATCGGAAGAAAGTATTTTTCAGAAGTCAATGCAAAGTCTAAGTAAAAATTTGAATATAATGTTAATTTAGGAAGTTTTTATTAACTCGGTAATTTGCAAAGATTACACTTATTATAAGGAACCTAAATAGAAAATGCATTGACATTTAAAGTACAATTATATTAAAATCAAATTTTTATTTTTATTTCAAAATATTTTTTGAAATAAATAATACAACTACAAACTTCATATTGATTAATTTTTACATTTTTTATATTCAACTTTTAATTAACCAACAAAATTAAATTTTTTTCAATTCTATGTCTATATAAGCACATAAAGTACGTTGATATATTCATTATTTTATTAACATATAATTAAAAAGCGATAATTTTTTAAAACAATCGATTTTTACAACATAATAATATTAATCTTAACATGATATGTTTTTTCTTTTTTGTGACTTTTTATGATATCATTATTTAACCCTCCCATCACCATTCGTAATTATGCTCATGAAATGGGTTTGTACACTGCTGTTGACCTTCCAATTGTATAACCATGGATGGAACTCTTTTTATGTCCATTTCCATGTTAACAACTTCATTGAATGTCTGCAAAACATAATATATAGTTTTTTTAATGAATGTTTGACAAAATAATCGAAAATTTTATGAATGATCATATAATTCGAAACTCATAAAATAATTCAATCAAGTGGGGCTCATTACAAGAAAATCGAAAGGCTTTGTAGATGGCAGCTATATATATTCTGACTCAAACTATCCTTGACCAATCCTTTGAAATTTTTTTCTGCTCATTGCTTATACAGGGTGCGGCAAAAGTATGGATACACCTGGAAATTTCGCAAAATGAGCGTAGGAAAAAATCAAAAATCCAGTCCGAAGTATTTTTTGACGAGGAATCCAATGGTGACCTTGAATTTGACCTTGAATATAACGTTCAAGCTCCAGCTACCCAAAAATCGATTTTTCAAACGGAAACCCCCATTTTTTATTGCAGATACTTAAGCTTAATATTAGGTTAAATCGGGGTTTTATTTCAAGGGTCAGGAGTCCAAAATTTGCTCTGGCTATTCCCAATTACGATTGCTATACCAAATTTTCAAAAATTGGTATTTTTCACTTCACCCTGTTACACATACAGTGTGCGGTAAAAGTGTGGATACACCTGGAAATTTCGCGGAATAAGCGTAGGAAAAAAATCAAAAACCCAGTCCAACGTATTTTTTGACGAGGAATCCAATGATGACCTTGAATTTGACCTTGAACGTAACGTTCAAGCTCCAGCGACCCAAAAATCGGTTTTTCAAATTTTTTTACTTTTAAAAAGATTCTATTTTTAAATTCCCAAAGTAGATACCTCAAACTATTTTTCACAAAAAGCTAAAAAAGAAGTTGTGGGTAAATACAATTTTTTGAGGGATAAAATGGTGTTCAAAAGATGATATTTAAAAATGGGTATATAAATCTAAATCGCAGACGTTGACAAATGATTTTTTCTTCTGCAACCTGAACGTTAAAGCCCGCCTTTTTATCTGTTTTCGTTTTTCTTAATTCAAAATCGAACTTTGAGCCAAATAAATTAATCATACCGTTTGTAAGATACATAAATAATCAGTTTTGATTGTTGTAATTACTCAGTAAGCTCTCGTATTACTGATGTAACGACGATTTTTGAACATCTTTTTGATACTTTGTCATTAAGAACACTTTGAAGATACAGAATCTTATTTTAATCGAAAAATAAAGAAATAAACGTCCTAAGCTAAAATTTCAGTAGTTTTTTGAGCAATTCTTAAAAAAAATGCATTTTTAGTGGTACAATTACGACAACACTTATTTTCACTTGACGCGGTTAACGACGATTGGGAATGTTTGTGGCAGGTCCCACAATGAAAGACCTTTTAGGGCAACACGCTGTAAAGTGCTGACTTCTGACCACTAAACCGTATGATGACACACAGAACCTAAAAATTACTTTCACGCGTTGAAATCTGTTAGGGCTGTATGCCTCAACAAGATAAGTCGATAGAATCGATCGAGAGCCAAACACGATCATCAAATCGCGCTACGCTAATTTATAATTTGCCGTCTCTTGTGAACTAAAAGTCCGATCTACATAAAAATTTTCTACAGTGTTCTTGAAAGTGCTTACAAAATAATAGTATATTTATAAAAATTATTAACATTTATTAGACAACAGAAAAAAATTATTAAAAATTAGACGTTTTAATTAATGTTCAAATTTGTTCCATTCAATAGAGGAAAGTCTGTTATGAATTTTCAAAAATACAAATTTTTATACCGTGACATTATTCAAAAAGGTCTTAGAAAGGTGTGTGTAAATTTTTTAATAGATCCGTGTATTTAAACGAATTTAACAAAAGAGAAACGAAGGCCGCTTGACATTTGGATTGAGTACATAAAATTACTTGCTTACATGCAACTCAATGGCTTTGCCATTAACTTTTGTTTAAAAAAACGGATTGATTTAAATATTTTCACACACCTTCTTATAGTACTTTACGATACAAGTCCCAGAAGTAACACTTTTTGGCATGAGTATCGTACTAGTACTTTACGATACAAGTGCCATAAGTAACACTTTCTGCCCGGTGTAATTTAGGACCCGAGCGTAGCGAGGGTCCTAATAGCTGGGTCGAAAAGTGTCCCCATGGCACGAGTATCGTACAACATTTTATAGCATTGCGTGGCATAAGTTCACATTTATGACACGCTTTTCTGTGGCATAAGTTCACATTTATGACACGCTTTTCTGTGGCATAAGTTCACATTTATGACACGCTTTTCTGTGGCATAAGTCGCCGATTCTGGCACCGCTGTGTTCGCATCACACTCGCATACGCTTGTGCTCTAAACCTCACTTTGCGGTACCAGAAAGTGTGACTCATGGCTCGGAAAAGGGGGCATAAAAGATGAGTTCAGCAATTGTGCTGCACAGTACTACCTGAGCGCATTTCAGGTCAGAGATAATTAAATATTATGTCAATAGATTAAGGGCTCAAAGGGGTCTTAAAATTGAAAAAATTTTCAAGTAGAATTTTTTGTCACCTTTCCATTAAATTTTTTAAAACCTCAACATTTTGACCATCCACTGAGATACAGCTGTTTCCGTGAGTTTTTTTCGTATACTTTACGTTTTAAATGTTTTCTTATTTTGCGTTTTCTGGCATTTTACGTTTTTACAAATTGCCGATTGAGTTACAACAACAGGATCGCGCACACTTCTTCAAAACATGAATGGTTACGGTTGCACCTCGGGTGAGGTGATCGAACTCATAGGTCACTTTCAATCAGTAGATTCATGATGGAGGTCACAAAATAAAGCGTAAACTGAAAAAAAAATTGTGCTTAAGTGTTTTTACTGGGTGACTTAAGGGTCGGATCGGCTCGCCCGAGGTTGCGACCGTGAATATTGATATTCTGAAGAAGTAGTAGAATTATTCTCAGTGTATGATGAGAAAGTTGGTTCTGTGTGAGGAGGTCGACAGGGACACCTAGGGTAGGCTTTACGAACCGTGATGTTGTGACTAACGGGCCTGAGAGCGAAACCACCTTGCTTCCCGTCATTGGTGTGACGTGCGATAACCGCCCTCTTTCCGGCGGTAACCGATGAGCCCATCCCACCACCAGTAGTCCTGGACGGAGAAATAACACCTACAGTCTCCCGTGCAGAAAAATCAAGGAGCACACAGCACTGAAGATCGCTATCGCTACTCACGTGGACATCTTTCTTCGGGTGTTCACGGCGTGCATGAGGAGCGGCGTTTTCCCGAGGTGCTGGAAGCGACAGAGGCTCGTCTTGTTGCTGCAGTCGCGAAACCGCTCGACGAGCTGAGATCATTTCGGCCAATCTGCATTCTGGACGCGGTGGGCAAGATACTGGAGAAGATCATCTGTGATCGCCTGCAGGTCTTCACGAAGAGCCCGTTCGGCCTCTCGGATAGACAGTTTGGCTTTCGGATATACATGACGTATGACACAATCCTGCTCCTCAACTTACAGCTCAGTGCAAACATCGTAGGCTTTGCGGTCGACATCGCACTGGTTGCGGTGGCTTAATGCCTATAGCAGATCGAAAATCACCTGAACGCTGCTGTTGTACAGATTCGGGAGGCGCTCCTGCAGCTTGGCTTGACCACCGCCGAGCCTGCCTGCGCATCATCAGTGGATGCACGCATCTATCACGACGTCACCTACGTCTTAGCCAGCATACCACCGCTGGCACTACTCGCGGACGAGCGAGCCAGGCTTTACCATCGCTGCCACGAAGATGTGGGTCAAGACGACGAGCGCCAGGAGCCGCTCCGAAGATTGCAGATCCAATGGGACCAGTCAACAAAGGGGAGATGGACGCACTGACTTATCCTGGATATCAAGGGATGGGAGGAGCGGCGACACGATGAGACTACATACTATCTCACGCAGTTATTGATCGGGCACAGCTACTTCAGACATCGTAGCCAGTGCTACGACAACAACGCCAGCACACGGTGCTCGGTTTGCCCCGACGTAATCCTAAACGTGAAGGATGTGTTTTTTTACTGCTCGCGTTTCGAGTGTGAAAGAGAAGAGCTGCAGATAAAACTGAGCAAACGGATCGAGCCGGATAATATCGTCCAGCTCATGTTGGAAGATCAGACACATTGGAAATTAGTCTTCACTTTTACGAAGAGAGTGGTAATAAGACTGAAACAACAGGCAGGTGAACAACAAGACGATGATAAAAATCAAATGAAAAAAAGGCAGTAGAAATGCGACTGGGGTTCACAACAAAGTAATGTTTCCTGTGTCAACTCTCAGTTGATACGTTGACCCCTGGTCCTCTAACGATGTTGTATTTTATTTACGATTTGTAAAATATATATAAAAATCATTATGCAAAATAAAAGACTTGATTATAAATCACCAGTCACAAATTCTGTCTAGTTTACATATGTGTAATCAAAATTTACGAGACACAAAAATTGACAAAAGTCGATTTTGAACCCATCATTGAGCTCCCTCGATGAGGAAGCAATTTTAATTAAAAAAATTGAAAAAACATTAAAATTTTTCTTTTACTATTTATGGTCCTACAAAGTATGATTAACTTTTATATACTTAAAAATCAAATTACCTGGAAACTTTTTTGTATGAATCCATCCAACTCATTTGAAATGTCCATATTTTTGTAACTCAATCCATCTTTACTCAAAAATGGATTGTTTGGATTTGGCAAACCTGAAAATAAAATATCGAATAAGACGCTTAAATTTAAGGCATCATAAATTAGTTATTTATGTATCCTATTATTGTTTACCATTGTTTACCTATCATTTATATTGAGTGACTGAGACTTCTTAAGGGCTAACAGGGAGTTTAATTATTTTTCATTTTTCAATTACAGTACTAGGCTGTAAAAGTAAAAAAAAATTGTTTTTTCAAGAACACACATGATAACCCTCTTCAATGCCCTATTTGAAAGTATTTCGTCCAGTTAGATACTTAGAAACACTTAAGTACAATAATAATGAGTGTATTGACACACAACACAAGCTTTAAACACATCTAAGCTGTTTGCTGTAAGATTCCAAGTATTTGCATGACACGACTAAAATGTATGTAGTTTCATTTTGTTCGATAGCTAATTTTAGTCCAGTGAAACCTTACATGAAATTGCATTTTGTTGGGGAGAGATGAAACCTAGTCTACTTTATGTTTTTGGGTGCGCTGAATTTATTGCCGATGTTATTTTGTACCTAAAACATCAGCGTCAGGGTGAAAATCGAGGGTGAAAGAGTTTTTCGCTGATATCTCGCGAACGAAGCAAGATACAGAAAAACTGTTTGCACCAATCGAGTCCTCGTAAAATTTTACATCGAAATACACTTTTAACTTTTCAAATGTCAGTGCAAAAATGTTTACAATATCAAAAAATTAGTTTACAGCGGTCAGCGGTAGTGGGGGCCGGCGGCGCCGCGCGAGTATATCATCTATATATGTCGCTTCCCCTTCGGCGGCCGCTGTAAACTAATTTTTCAATTGTAAACATTTTTGCACTGACATTTGAAAAGTTAAAAGTGTATTTAGATGTAAAATTTCACGAGGAATCGATTGGTGCAAACAGTTTTTCTGTATCTTGCTTCGTTCGCGAGATATCAGCGAAAAACTCTTTCACCCTCGATTTTCACCCTGACGCTGATGTTTTAGGTACAAAATAACATCGGCAATGAATTCAGCGCACCCAAGAACATAAAGTAGACTAGGTTTCATCTCTCCCCAACAAAATGCAATTTCATGTAAGTTTTCACTGGACTAATTGGCCATGGTCGCAACCAAAAGCTAGACATAAGATGAACTGTAGCTACTTGTTCACATAGCAAAGGGAAATTAATTTATGCAAAATGTTGAAAAATGATAACTAACGTATGCACGAATGAATAATTTCGCGTATTTTTCCTCGTAGCCTAGGTTTCAGGCCAAGAAGAAGATGGGCGGAGCAGACCGAGAACGCAACACCGACGCCAAGACAACAAACCGCACCTCGAGATTCTACAAGCCTAGGCCGAGAAGAAGCACGCAGGCCGCACAAAAGCAGTAGCGGAGTCACGTGACTACTGCGCAATCTACTGCGCCGTAGACAATGCCACGCGAGGCAGATTACCACGAGCCGAGCAAGAGTGTGCACGTGCGGAAAACAAACCAGTGAAAAGTAATTGTTCTTTTTGTTTAACAACGCAGAGTAGTTCGCGGTTGTGCCAGTTCGGTGCAGAGAATTCGCCGACGAGGAAAAAGTCCGCTGGAGTGCGGTCGTCGTGCGAGAAGCACAGTGTGTGTACACCAAAGACGACCACAAGAAAGTGAGGCTAGTTTCTGCCTCGAGAAACGCGGCGCCGATCCGAACGACTCTCTCGCTTTCAGCACTATCTTCTTGTGAGTCTGATGAGACTATTTCACCTTCTGTTGCCATCATGTGAGTATTGTTTTCGCTTCTGGTGCTAATCTCAGGGTTTTGTCCTGAGATCAAGATGTTAGGGCCATCTTGTGAGTGTCGTTCTCGCTTCCGGCTACGCTTTGTGAGTGTGGTACTCGCTGCCTATCGCCATCTTGCGAGTGTGGTTTGTTCACCGTCCGACTCCGTCTTATGAGTTCTGACTTTGGGTCCGTCTGGCGGGCACGCCCTCCGTGGCCCAGGTCTTTTATTTACAGTGGAATCCGAACCACTTCAGGCCCGAGATCGACCCCACTAGGCGAAAAAGTCACAAGAGACAGTTCCGTGTGATGGGGATCGAACCCGAGCCCTAGACGACACTCTCAGATTCAGCAGGCAAGAGGCCTGGGCCCCTTATCAACTGAGCCATCGAGGCGTCATTTGTGTGTGTGTGTGTATTTTTTTTTTTTTTTTTTTGGATGTATAAATATATTTTATTTAGTAAAAAGAGAAAAGAGTAGTTTACATTAAGTAGCAATGTAACATATTGGTGTAGGCTGTACATAGGTTATGTAGATACATCCACATCAATTTCCCTTTGTTCCATCCCCGCGGAAACCGCCGTTAGGAATTACTTCACGGGGGTGGAGGGATTGGCATTACGTGCTTCATGAGGGCTTGGATGGGGTGGCGTCTTTTTCCAGCCGCATCGTCCGGTCATCCTCTTCTGTGCATTTCTTCGTCACTCAGTCTTATTACGACTGAGTGGGCGAAGGAAGCAACCGCGAGCATGAGCCTGGTGGTGTTATCCGGCGTCATGACCTCATAGAGCAAAGCCTGTAGACTCTCTCTTTCTTCGCTGAACCTCGGGCAGTGATGCTCCGCGTTCTCGATGGATGAGGGGAAAACTGTGCATTGCGCGCTTTGATTATGATCGTAGCTTCGGCTATGGTGTTTAAAGAAGCCATGCTAGGTCAAGAGTTGCGTGAGGTGGTATTTTAACTCTCCGTGCCTCCTCTCGATCCACACTCTGATATTTAGGATCAGTCGGTGCGTCCATCGGGCCTTCGTTGACCGGTCCCATGCTTCCTGCCACTTGCTTAGCGTTGCTGAACTTCCTCGTCCTTTGCGTCCTCTCGGCGGCGGCCGTAGAGCCGCGCTCGCTCGTCCGCGAGAAGGGCCAATGGTGGTATGCCGGTAAGGACATATGTCGCTTCAGGCGCCATCATGCACTCCAGCAGAGCCTTGGCTCTCGCATCCGGCGCCCTCTTGTGAGTGTGGTTCTCGCTTCCGACTTCATCATGGGAGTGTTGTGCTCCATCTATTGCCAGCCCTTTGAGTCCTTGCCTCGGGCTCCTACTTATGGTTATCCTATCGCTTCCAGCTCGCACAGTGATCGGGGTTTTTTTACCGCTTCGGAGGCTGATGACTTAGCCCGGGTCTTCTTTTTGAGTGGTACCCGCTCCACCTCGGGCACGGGCTCGACCACACCAGGCGAAAAAACGAACCTCGCAAATTCGCCAAGTGGGGATCGAACCCACGCCCTACGGCACACCTTGTATCAGCAGGCAAGAACTATACCCACTGAGCCAAGGAGGCCGATATGATGTGTGTGTGTGCGAGTGCAAGAGTGGTAGCGTGAGTGAGGCCACGCGAGTGTGGCAGCAGCGACACTGGGTCGATAGTAACGTAAGAGCAAGTCTCGGCCCCCGTGGGCTATCGGAAATTGCCCAACGCGTGCTTAAGTCTCTATGGGACCGTATCGTAAGCTAAAGATTGTAACTCGCGTCACCGTGAGTATTTGCTATAGTTTGGCCTCGTGGGCTTTACATAAAGATAATTCGAGTAATACTAAATAAACACGTGTTAATTCATTCCATCCGACCCATTCGAGAATTTCAGGTATCAGAAGCCCAAGCGACAGAAGGTGAGTGAACGGGCCTATGGCTCACCCGTACTGGTGACGGGCTCAATATCCCCTCTGGGACTCGAGTCAGGTAAAGCGGGCCCCCATAAATATAAGTGGACGGCAGTTGAGCTGAATTACACACCCGGGGTAGGCTGTCCGTCGCAATATGCTACATGGCTTCTCATAAAAGATGTCAAACTTTTAGTGAAGCAATACATCGATTAAGTTTTCATCTACTTTGAAACGATAGATTGTTCTAAATCTGATTAAATAGGAAAATATGATGAATCTACCAAACGTTATCGAAACATCACTAAGTAAACATAAATAAAGTTAAAATCTCTTTGTACAGAAGAATAATTCAAGTTTTTATAAAATAAAAATGGTTTACATTGAAATTAAAAATTGAAACGATCAAAAAAATGTCTAGGAAAAGTGAAGATGTAGGGGTTGATTTTCACAAGATTGTGCTTTTTAAATAAAAATTTGTATGTTAACTTCTCTCTGCTTTGTCTGAATAAATCAACTAATTATTTGAAATAAAGCGTTTGATCCCATTGTGATAACGATAAGCGGTTTTTACTGCAGTCATTTTAACTAATTTATTTTACCTTCTGATTTTCCGGGAACATCCAATGCATGACCTAATGAAGCTTGATATGTAGCTCCATAACTTCCATCCTGATTTGATAATTCATGTAATCTACTTGAACTGAGTGCTCTAGGAATAGCATTACTTGGGACACCATGGGGAGCTAAGTGAGTGACTTCAGCTACTTGATGGGGGTCTTCCGTTTGGGGTAAATTAGCTATGAACCCAGCGTCTTGACGATAAAAATTAATGAAGATAAAAACTGCCAATACCACCATGCATAATAATCCATAAGCCCGAAACGTCGCTGTAGTTCCTGAAATAAAAATGTTACATTACTCTTTCTTTTTAATTGAAATATTTTTAAATATTTTAAGAGATTTATGTTGTACAATAGCATAACAGATTGTTATTATTTTACGAATTTGTTTTACAAATCTTATGCATAAACTTAAGAAGATTGGTACTAAAAGGATTTGTAAATTTTCAAAAGTAAAGGAAGAAAAATAAATGAATAGGCTAGATCAAGATTGCAACGAAAAAAATTCATCTTGAGATTGCGCTTTTTGATAGAAGCTTTAGAAACTCACTCGAAAAAACTTTTAATTCGCCTGAAAAAATAAATAAATTTATAATTTTGATAGGAAATTTTCTCAGTTTTGTCATGGTACAGTGAGACTTTTTTGATCAATTTTATTTTCACAAGAAAAAATCAAAAGTAAACTATTAAGTTCATTTTGTCCATTTTACTTTTTTTGAGATATTTAGCTCTGGATTTTTGATGAAAATTTTTTCATAATAATTGATTGTTTCAAAAATTCCGATATTACCGGCGAAAAGCTGAAAAAAATGATCGAAATTATTGGTTATTTTTTTAGTTGGATTTTAATACTTCCCGCGAGTTAGATATGAAGTCAGTAGCTGTATTTACGAGTTAAATTGATTATTTATCATCTAAATCACAAAAGAAGCAAAAAAATATCTATCTTCAAATTTCATGCGTTTTTCTCGTCTCTAGCAAAAACAAAGTTTCACCTTTTTTGTCGACGAAACTGCATTTTATTTGTAGATTCGACTATCCACTTCGAGCTGATAGTAGCGATTAGAGCGGCAATTTTACGAACTTCATGAACGAACGATTAGACTGAAATCAGTCTAATTACAAAGTTTGTTCACGGACTTGGTAAAATTGACACATCGATCGCTCATATCGGCTGGAGGTGGATATAAAGTCCCCAAAAATGGTCTATCCCCTCATGGGTGTTCATGAATATTCAATTTTTGTACTCACTACATATTTGCGGGTTAACTATAAACTAAACTCGCATACTAAACACGTCTAAAGAAGTCTTACTCTAACAATATGTCAACGATGTTTCTATAAGTGAGATAAACTTAAAATAAACTACATACCATAGACAGCAACGAAAATTCCTCCTATCACTGCTCCACAACCTCTTCCAAGCCCGTGATGAAGTCCTTGTAATACACCTTGTGCACTTGATCTTAGAGGAGGAGGAGTATTATGGGCGATGTAACTACAACAAGCTGCCCATACAGCTGCATGAGTTATGCCTTGAACAAACTCAAATGGTAAAACCCACCAAGGATTTTTTAACCAAGAAATGTACAAAAACCGGAAAATATTACCACACAATCCTAAACAAAGAACCTATAAATAAAAATGATAAAAACTATTATGATGCTATACTTTATGAATATATTATAAATAAAAAATGTATAATTATTAACACATACTTTAACATGACCTAGTTGACGTATAAGCTTAAAACTGAAGAAATAAGCAAAAATTTCAGATACATGATTTATTACTGAAGCAACGCCAAAGAGAGTTGGAGTTCCACCATAATCTTGTAGATGCCAAAATAAAAATGTGAATATAAGACCGATTCCAAATCCCATGAACCAGGCAACAAACAGAAAAGATGCGCATTTCAAATTTTTAAACTGCTTCAAAATTGTTAACCATTCTGGTATCTCGCGAGTTGTTTGTGCAAAGATCTTGGTCTGAAAAAATAAGTTTATCATTAGTAATCATTTGACTCGTGTTTATTCAGCAGTACATTCTTTATAGATTGGAATATTTTAATAACATTTCTTCTCCTAATTTTTCACTTTTCACCTAAATTTCTTTCTATGTTCAATTAAACATATTTTTTCATGGGTAAATCTAGCTATTTTTTCTGAAAGGCTGTATATAAGACTGTCCGCTATTTTTCGAATTGCTGAAATGTTTGCTTGTACTCCTTGAAAGCTCATCTTTTAAGTTATAATAAAAGAAAAATACTATCTGATCTCGATAGGTGTACTCAAAATAGTGTCACATCAAATGAACATAGAAAAATTTAAAAAAAGATGCATTTGAGTTAAATACTTTATTTACTTATTAAATACATCGCTACTCCTTGAGTCAAACGATCATCTATCATGAGATACCAATACTTACAACAGTCGCGTGCTGGCGCTCGCTGAGTACACACGCATGTACGAGGAGACCTAACCTCGGCATAATCTTTCCGCCTTGCGCTGATAAATACGAAGCATTATCGAAGCCCTTAGTTCACGTATAACTGCACAGTGTTAAAGTGCCTATAATTACATAATTTTAAGTGCATTTAATACGCAGCATAATTATGTGCCAAATAGATGTTCAACGCAAAATACTTCAAAATAGTTCTGACCAAGCGTAACGTAACTATGTCTAATAAAAGAAAAGTGTCGCCGGATGGAACACCGGGCACACAGATACCTACAATCAAGAAACCTAACATAGTTAAATCAACATCCTTCAAGCCTAACTTGAGCAATATAACCCCGAGATATAGAACCATCACCAAAAAGGAAATCAATGAAATAATTGGCAACGTGGCTGCAGGAGCTCCAACAATACCAAATAGTAATAGTGTGTCTAACATCATATCTTCACAAAAAGAAAGCGAGGCCAATATAAACAGTGCAAAAAACAGTGTAAAAATGGGTCATAATCAGGTAATTAACAAAAATAAGCTTAAAAATAAAAAAGATGCATCGGAACAGAAAATGGTGGACATCAAGCCAAGCAACGGAGCAAATCCTTTGTCGCCAAAAGTCGTTAATGGCGTCAACTCACAAAAACCAGAAATTAGTACAAATAAATCCCCTACACAGCAGAGCCATCTAGCCAATAAAGTACAAAGTAATTTCGTTACCGACACAGATCAAACTGCTCTTATAGACCAAGAGATGGAGTCACTTGGCGATGAAGGTGGCAGCATAAGCGATTATTCGTTTTGCAGCAGTGCAGACAGTAAATCGGCCGGTGCGGCAGCACAAAAGCAACCACCAATTTACGTGAAGAAATGCTCAGCTCTACAACTAATCAAACTTTATAAAGATAATAATCTTGTAATCAATTTTAACATCAAAAACACTGCTAAGGATAGCTGTAAATTAACAACAGCAAAAATTGAAATATACCAAAGTACAATTAATACTTTAAAACATCTAAACGTAGAGTTCATCACGTTCACACACAAGAGCCAAAAACCCAGATCAATATTATTAAAAGGTCTACACGAAGAAACTTCCTGTGATCAAGTACACAATGAGCTAAGCAAACTCCAACCTGCAGAGGTGACAATTAGCAAAATATCAGTATTCTCGGGTAAGCCCAACAGTGGAATAACATTCTTAGTGCAGACTACTCCAGATAGCGACATCAAATCACTAACCAATATAAAAAGCTTGAATTACCAAGTCATCAGATGAAACCGACTAAGAAAAAGAGAACCACCGCAATGCAGAAGATGCCAAGTTCCAGGCCATGTAGCCATCAATTGTAACATGGCATACAGGTGCGTTAAATGTACCGAAACGCATGAACCAGGTCAATGCACAGTAAATAAAGAAAACAACGAGTCTGTTAGCTGTGTTTTATGTGGCAAAACAGGTCACCCTGCTTCTTACAGAGGCTGCGAAGTAAGATCAGGAGAAATGAAAAAAATCATGAACAGAAATAAAACAAGGTTTAAACCACTAATTAAAAACACATCCAAGGCAACCTATGCAGAAGCTCTTACGCAATTTCCCACTCAGAATCAACAAGTTCAACAACATGTCAGAACAGCAACAACAAAACAACAATGGAATAGACCAGGTGAATCCAACCAACCAACGGCCATATGCAACCAAGACAGCGTTGCACCCAATACAAACAACACAACTGGTAACAATCATGTTAATTATATCTTAAGTAACCCTCCAATTGATACGCTAATCAACAATGATAATTTGACATCCATTAGCATAAACAGACTAAATGTACTAGAGAAAAACTTTGATTTAATGTTTAATAAAGTGGATGAAGTACTATCCAATATGAAAAAAGAAATTTGCTCTACAATTAAAAGTGAGGTTAATGAATTAAATATCACTGTGCACAATAACGTCCAGAAAATTGATGCCATTGCAAAGTACCTAAAAATAAAATGGGATTAAAACCAATCTACTATGACAATAATAGCGCAGCTAGTCTTTTAGTAAATAACCTTAGTATAATTTCTGTAAATGTTAACTCAATACTTTCACTGTACAGAAGAAATAATCTGGACTTATTTCTAAAAAAACATAAGCCTGATATTATGGCGCTATCTGAGACTAAACTAAGTAACAAATACAAAGTCAATTTCTCTAATTATAATATGTTTAGAAACGATCGAAATTGTAAAGGAGGTGGTACTGCTATTTTATTAAATAAGAACTTCAAATGTACACACATTGCATTCAACCACAAATTCAAAGTACTAGAATGTACCGTGGTTAAAATTGAATTAAATGATAACTCCAATCTATTTATAATTGCAGCATATGTATCTCCTTCAAACAAAGATAATCTGAATGAGGATTTGATATACTTGTGCACTAATCTGAAGTTCATGGACAAGAAAAATAAATTTATTTTATTGGGGGACTTGAACGCCAAACATCAAAATTGGAAAAACCCAGATTCAAATATAAGAGGTCGACAGTTGAACAGTTGGGTTAATGATAACAATAATGTATTTAATTTCGAGTTATTACATTCGGCCATACCCACGTTATACAAAGCGAATAGCTACATAGATATAGCGTTAATCAGCTCACTAATTGTCCCTAGTGATAAAATATTATCTACCCTTGACTATGAAAGCGATCATAGAGCTATCTCCTTAAAACTAAAATTGAATTATCATATTATTCTTCAACCAGAGGCTACTCCTAGTTTGCTATATAAAAAAACAAATCTGAGAAAATTTCAAAATTATTTGGAAGAGAAAATCATTTCTATATATTCCCAATAACAGAAATCTTTCAAATGCAGAGTTAGATACATTCATTAGTTTACTTCAACAAATCATACATTCTGCAATTATGAAATCAACCCCTACATACACCTTAAACGATAGATTTGCTACCACTGCAAACGAAACTCCATAAACTGGCCCACAACAGCAACCCTGATAAAAAAGCAGAATACAACAACCTAAAGCTGGAAATGAAAAGAGTAAAGAACAAACTTTTTCTAATGTTCAGCAACGAATCAAAACACCAGGAGTCAGCCAGCTTCTTCCCTAAAATTAACCTCATATGGAGGAAAAAAAACTGCAATGAAATTAAAAACTTAATTATAAGAGAAGAAAATAAAAACCTAGTCACTAAATGCGGTATAGACCCCAACTCACTAGTCTCAAACGAAAAAAATGAGTATCTAATTTCAGACAATAATCAAATTGCACATATAATTGGGGAATTCTTCCATTTAATGAACACCAAAGTAAAAGATGACGGCTCCCCATTAGAAAAAATTATAAATGAAAGAATGGTGCCTATAATGTCAGAGTTAAACTCACTCCCTACGGTAACAACATTTAGTAACAACAACACAGCAGATATACCAAACCCCGACCCTAGTAATAATTCAAATATAATTTTTACTAATACTAAACTAATATCAAAGTTAATTAGCACTCTCAAAAAGAAGTCTTCATTCTAATGGGATAATTTTCCAAATATAATGATAAAAAAATTAGATAAAAAATATATAAGACTTTACACCATCATTTTTAATAATTGCATAAACAATGGATACTATCCCAAAGACTGGAAGATAGCTAAACTAATTGTGCTGATGAAGAAACACGATAAACCGTTGGATCTGGATAATCTCAGGCCCATTAGTTTATTGTCGGTTATCAGCAAGGTGTTTGAGAGAACTATCAAAACAAATTTAAACAAATTCTGCGAAAACAACAATATAATACCTGACCATCAGTTTGGGTTTCGTAACCAGCACTCAACAGTACATGCAATTCATAAGCTTATAGGGGATATAAATTGGAATTTTATGAGTAATTAAATGACAGGTGCCATTTTAGTAGACTTAAAGAAAGCATTTGACTCAGTATAGCATAGTGGGCTGATATACAAATTAAAAAAAAGTAACATGGACCCTCACTTACTGAAACTAACTTACAACATGATCAATGAAAAAAAGTTTAAACTAGCTAATAATAACAGTCAAGTTACAGGTAACAAAGAATATGTTATCACACGGGGGTTACAATAGGGTACCGTTAACTCACCCCTCTTATTTAATATACAGGGTGCGGCAAAAGTATGGAGACACCTGAAAATTTCGCATAATAAGCGTAGAAAAAAAATCTAAAACCTTATATCCGACGTATTTTTTGATGAGAAATCCAATGGTGACCTTGAATTTGACCTTGAACATAACCTTCAAGCTCCAGCGACCCAAAAATCGATTTTTCAAATGTAACCCCCATTTTTTATTGCAGATTTGAAAAGAGCACAAAATTTCACGTCAAAATGTATGTTTTGTTTTTTTGTTCAAGGTCATTTTAAGGGCGTTACAGATGCAAATAAAACCCCAATTTAACCTAAAATGAAGTTCAAGTAAGGGCTTTCTTTCTCATTGTACCGACTCATAAATGACCTAAAAAAAACAAAATACATATTTTCACGTAAAATTT